CTTTAAGAAATATTGTAGTACACACTTAGCTCTAAGAAACAGTGCAATCGGTTGATAGAATCATTGATCAGCTGAAGAGTTGTGAAGGGGAGAAAATCGAGTTTCAGTCGTTTGTGTGCCGTGGCCCTCTGGTGCGCCTGCCGCTCGCCACCTCACGACCGTGCTCGTGAAAACGGAGACCTGGCACCCTCAGCTCTCTCTCTGGCTCACTCGCTCGCCCTCTCTCACCCTCACTCCCTCTGCCCTCCCTTCTCTCTCCTAGCGTTCTCCCTCGCCTCAACGCCGGTGAACGGCCGCGTTCGCCATGGTCGCTGGCAGAGCTCCGCGGCCACCGCTCGTCAACGCAGCCCTAGCCTCCCTCACGTCTGCTCAGCGCCACGGCCACCATCCCCACTTCTCCGTGTCCCTATAGAGCCTGCTGCACTGCAGCTTTCGCCGCCGCCCATGCATGGCCGCCTCAGTCGGAGCAGAGCTCCCTAGCCGCCATCGTTCTTCCACTCCGAGCACCCAAGCCAGCACCACCACCACCTCCGCGTGTTCGCCTGAACCCGTACCACCTATCCCCCTCGCCCTCGCATGCCAGCCGGAAAGCCGCTACCGCCAGTCTTGTCGTCCGGCCACACCAAGGCTGCGTGGTCGGGCCAACTCAGCCTCCTCGGAAGCCGAGTGAGCAGCAGCCACGCCAGCGTCGCTGCGTCGGCTCCCTAGTGCTCCATCGCCACTTCCCCGACGCCGGCATGGCCCCCAACAACCGGAGCCACGAGCTCCGACGGCCTCCCCTGCTCTGATTCGCGTGAGGGGCTGCGTACAACAATTAGAAGAAAGGGAAGGGCCAAACTACAAACCGTAGACTCTTATGAATAGTGCCTTTTGGACCTATTTGTTTTAAATCGGCTAAAGGTTTGGAAAATCATAATAGATCATAGAAAATTTATAAAATAGCAAATGAGGACTTTTTGAAATCCTTGTTGAATTGTCTATGCAATAGATCTATAATATTTCATATTTTAGTTTAAAGTTTTAGCTGTGAAAATAGGTTTATGCATCTAGGTTTTCAATTCTAGTTGTATTTGTCTTTTTCATAACTGCAGTTGTAGGGCTCCAAATGAAGTGAAATTTTTGTGGCATGCTACTCATGTGATGTTTGATGTGTGGTAAAAATTTCATGGTCATTGGTTGCTGCATGAGTGAGTTATTGGTTTATCTTGCTCTCACATGATTTCTTGCAATAGCAAATTATCTTTTTCATAGAGGCAGCTATACTTATGCAAATAGTATAAAATTTGTACAGTAGAATATTAAGAGGATATGTGAGCTACTGTAATTTTTGTAGAATTTATTGTGCATTTTTGGTATATGTTCATAAATACACCTTGATGTCTAAATAAATTAAGAAATGCTTTAAGAAAATTTATTTAGAGGTGAGCACCATACTTTCTGGTGTTCTTTAGTCATGTGTGAAATGTTGGTAAGGTTGGTTTTGCTCAATTATGTGTTTGCAACATAAGTTAATAATTATTTTCTTGTCGATGTGGTTTATGGACAGATCTAGGAACTTAGCAAAGTTCTTTATGATAATGTGCTTTGTTGTGAAACTTGTTTATACAAAAGTTATAGATAATTCATGTATCTAGCTTTTGTTAAAATTTGGTGTCATTGGCCAAGTAGTTTAAGAGTTACAGTTGTTTAAAGTTGGGTTACAGAATTGATTGTTCTCTGTCTTGTTTAGACCAGTTTCTGTAAATATATAATTTCGACCCACTTAACTTGTGAATCATGCTGTGATGGCTATATATGAAATGTAGATAATTTCATAAGCTTTCCAGAATGTCTTGTTGCATGGCTATTGGATTTGTATAACTCTAGTTATGATCCAAACATGAAGTTGTTGTTTCTAGTCCAGAAATAGACATATGCTAGTTGTGGTTGTTTACTCCATGTGTTGCTAAGTGTGGCTTATGCCCTTGTTGATGGTCAAGTTATGATACTTGTGACCTTGTTAAACTTGTGTCATGCTTGATGTGCTTGCTCTCTATAGTTAGTTGTGTGATGTTAGTTAAATAGCTATTGATGTCTATGTCTTGCATAATCTTGTGTTTGTCTTGAATGCTTATGTGATGCATCTTGTATTACCATTCTTCATATTCATGCACTTGCATCTTGCATCTCATCTAGGTGCGCTAGATGAACCACGTGAAGAACGTGATGTTGGAGCCGAACCCGAAGACGGTGTATGGTGGACCTATCCCGAAGGTGGAAGGACTGGACAAGTGCTAGAATGGGAGATGCTCACTAAGCGAGTGTCGTCTAACAAACACTAACCTAGTGTTGGATTCCAGGCAAGCCCCGAAGCATTCTAAGTCTCCTACTTTATAAAAGCAATTATTTCTATATATATGAGTTTATATATTGTTGCATTAAGTTGTAGGAGTTGATTGAAACCGTTGATGCATTTATTACTATCTTGCCTACCTTATTACCTTTTTGCCCTGTTAGGTCGGGATCGAATAACTGCTTAGCCTTGCTTAGACCGGTAGCGATCGGTGATTTCTAGTCACCGACATTTATAGGTGGTTACTGGAAGAATTTAGCTATGGAAAGAATGATATCCTGGAATTAACCATGTGTGATGGATAATTGGAGACCGGACAGAAAAAGTTGGAGGCAACCAGACAGGGTTCTAGGGTGTTGTTAGTTTTCCGTCTGTGTCGATTAAGGACCGATCGTTGCTCGTCCCTCTTGTCATGTTGAACACATGCCTCATATTTAGCTGGCCAAATAAAGTACCTTTCGACCGCGAAGCTAGTAACACTTTTCGAGCCGGGATAAACTCGGATTGGCAGACTGGTGCTAAAGGGGGTATGACGGGGACGCGAAGAGTGAGCCCAAGGTGCGTCCTGGCTGTCGGGCGGTCCCTGGGTAGTGCGGTCCATGATTGTTATCCCGCGGCTACTTGAAAAGTGTCATTGGTGATCTATAGCTCACTTGATGGGTGAGTGTGGTTTGTGTGAGAAATAAATCACCAGCTGGTTAGGAATCGATTTAAATCGCCATCGCTCCTGGATAGTGAGCACTTGACTCAAGCTACAACATCATAGTAATTATGATGGAACACTGATGGTTATCTGGATGGTATGAGATATGCTAAATCTAAGTTGGTAACTGGATGTTATTGGTTAGTCAAGTGATTGCTATAGTATAGGTGCTTACCTAGATGGATATGTCATAATAAAGATGATGCAAAGTACTTAAAATGGTTTCTTCATGATAGCTTATGCTTTTCGCAAACGAGTCAGCTAGTCCACTAAAGAAAGCCTTGCATAATCCTTGGTGTCATTTGTTTTGGTTTCCGACAGGTAAGTCTAGCTAAGTACATTCGAGTACTCAGGGTTTATCCCACCATGTTGCAGGTGAAGTTCTTGGCCTGTGGAAGATGGTGGCTAACCGCCGGTGGGCTCGGTGACTCTATATTTACTTCTCACCTATATGCTTTTATCAGAGGATGTCACTTATGCTAGCAATGTATTTGAAACTTATATTAATGTAATCATTTGAAAGCTATGTTGTTTTCTCTAATCGGTTTTAAAATCCAAACTTGTACAATTATTTGTGAACCCAATTGTAATATTATCTCCGCTGCAACGCTGTGTACGTGATGTGTATTTGCTTAATCACGCGATCTTGGTTGTGATGTTGATTTACCGAGGTCCTTCGTGACACTCGACGGACTACCGGGTTTGTATAAGTGAAAGTATGCGCGTGTCAACGTGTTAGCGGAGACAGCCATACTTGATCTTGTATAAATTGGACGGTTCTGTCAAAGGGGGTTGTTTAAGAGCCAATGAACCATCTGCTGGTGTAAACAGAAATTAGGGTCGAACATAAACCAGTCTACCATTTTCGTTGTCTAACATCCCACAAGTATCATTTTAAGGTGTTTGATTTAAGGATCTTCCGAATTATATGTATCCGCGAGATTAATTTTTGGTTTCGATGTGCAAAAGCAAACCATTTCGTTCTTTGGACCAACCAACCGAAAAGATGGGTTAGTCCATCATGTTCTCACTTCTCAATTTCTTGTTTGGTTTGTAGAATAAATGGGACCGATCGCATCGTCACCTCCTCACAAGCAAATGATTAATACTACTGTGAAAATAGTGTCATTCCACCAAATTCGAGAAATTGATTTATAATGTCATACCTTTATTTAGAATTGTTTGCCTTATCTAGAATGGTTTCCTTGAACTAAACCCAGTATTCAGTCTCCAATTAAACAAACGCCGCTTCTCACTGATCGCAAGCATGAACTGCTAACGCCATCCTTTGACGGCTAAGCAAACGTAACCAAGTGCCAAGAACAGGGCACCGCTCGTTCATGGAATGTTTATCATATATCCAAAAGATGGACAGGGCATGCTGTTTAGCAAAACGGCAGCGACTTAAAAGCCGAAAACGAAAAGTTTCCCAAAAAAATTCCGAAAACGAAAGCGCGTACCTTCGCCGCGGCCGGCCCTGCGTCAAGCCCCCGGGACATTGCTGGGCCTTGCAGAAGAGTTTCTTGTGACATTTGCCATAGTATATTCATATAATATCTGAGCACGTCAGTTGTACACTTGTTCTAAAAGACTAAAACACGCCTTCAAATCTGCTGGCCAAACCATGGTTTCCGTACCCAGTTATTATTACACTACTCACATCAAACTACATGTAATACAAAGCTCTGCCCAGTGACAAACGCTTCTAGAGCATTTAGCCGAGTCACTCCTGGTACCATGGCCGGAATATTCTAGCGGAAAACAGGGGAACCATACTGGAGACAGAAGAGCAGGCAACAGACCTAGATTCTCATGTGCCCTTTCGAGAAAATGGAACCACTTCAGTTAGTTTATGAAGAAACAGTAACTGTTGGTTCTGTGGGCATCACATTTCTGTTTTGTAGATTATTATTGCACCACCAATAAGAAAACTGATGTTCAAATAGTGGCAGGGCCATGGAAAGTTTACACACTCAACTCAGCCTCAGCAACTAATGGCTCAAAAACTGATTCAACTTCGCCCATATCTACTTCTTCCAGAGTGGCTGGATTCCACTTCGGATTCTGCAAAGTGACAGAAAAATTCAATGAGAAGTCAACTCCTTTTCACTTGATCGTCTTGTTTAATAAATGCAACCGACCACTATATTTGCATAACATAAACTATCAAGTTAGTTATGGAGATAAAACAAATGTCAATCCAAGTTACACCATGGTTAATCTAATTATCCGTTTTGCCACCAATTGCACCCAGTTTGCAAGACAGGAGTGAATAGTAGGGCTAGCCCTGTACATGGACTGGGTTTCCCGGCTTATGGCTAGTTTGCAAGTTGCAACTAGCACGGAGGACAGGCTGGGTTGGTCTCCGCTAGTTTCAGAGCAGATTTGATTTGCCGCTGGGTTGGACTAGTCCTAGTGGTTTCAACAGGTTCAGGATGGGTTTCACGACCCCACTGCCCTGGACGGAGCGACACCAAGGAAATACCAGTTCCTGTCTCATGGCCAAGGTCGCCATAGATGTCAGCAACGCAGACGATGCCGTGGAGCTTGCCTAGAGGCGTTTGACCAGGGTCAAGTGAAGCTGTAGCCTAGGGGCGCATCCGGCCGCACATGCTCCATCTCTGTCGTTCATCAAAGCATCTGGTCAGGAGATATCAAGCATGTGTGGCCGTCATGGGTGGGGTTAAGGGTGTTGGAAAGATCTCATACTTGTCGGAACTCAGAAGACTTCATGAGTGGCCAGGAAGAGGAAGATCCAAGAAGAATTAGGAAGGGACATCTAAGAGGATGCAATGGAGGAACCTAGACTCAGGAAGAGGACAGGTTACTTGGGTAGAACGAAAACAGATGGAAACAGACGAGAAAACCGCTTAACCATTTCCGTTTCCGTATTCGATCACCATAAACGGGAATGGGACCAGGATAGCCAGGAACGAGATACACTGGAATATGGAAACGAACAAATACAAATGGGAACCAAAAACTACTTCCGAAGATGTGCCTAATTGGCATGTTAGGAGCCTTGTTAAAGTGCCTCACAGGCTTCTTGATGCCCCTCAAGATGACTTTCTAAATTCTTGAACTAATATTTGTTGTGAAGACCAAACGTTCAAAGGTTGCTACAATAACAACTGCTAAAGCTTATCCTGGATTTCGTAAATACAGGTCTATCCGCCTAAAAGTGGGATCCTGCAAAAACAGACAGGAAACACCTCATCCCACTTCCTGTCCAGTTCCCATATTTTTCCGCAAATACAGAAACAAACAAGATAAATGTAGAAAACAGAATGGGACGGGATGGGATTTATCCTTCTTGGATTAAATAATTTAAGGAAAGAAAATTTGATAACTTGCCTGGTCCTTGTCAACTAAAACAGCACGTACACCTTCAACAAAATCATTTCTAACCGACAACCTCAAGGCAATGCGATATTCCAATTTCATAACACCAGCCAGCTGAAACCTCACCAAACACCAGAATTAGCAATACTGATAAGTGGTCCATGAACAATTGAAAATGTTCAGCCCTAGAGGATACTAGATTCATAAAAAACGGGCGTACCCAGTGCAGAGAGCTCCCGCTCTGTGCGGAGTCTGGGGAAGAGTGTCCGTGGCAAGCCTACCCTCGCCTGTGCAATGCGAGAAGACCGCGACTCGAACCCGGGACCTTCCGGTCATAGGCGGTAAGACTCTACCGCTTGCACCAGGCCCACTCTTCAGGATACTAGATTCATACCTTAGATAAATAGTGTTCACTAGTCCCGTACGCTGATGCAACTTGAGAGAAATGCTTCTGTGTTAAACAAAGAGAAAATGGAGCGCCTTTCTCAATTCCTGCTAAAGCTTCATTGGCCCATTCTGCCACTGCAGCCACCAGAGAAACAATTAAGTGCATAAATACAGATATCCCTTCTTAAGCCACCACTGGATTAAATTCTTGCATACTCCCTCTGTCCTAGAAAAAGTGTCAGCTATGGGATTTGTGCTAGTCAAACTTTCTTAACTTTGACTAGGTATATAGAAAATATTAGCAACATTTATATCTCTAAATAAATTTATTATGAAAATATATTCAGCGATTCATCTAATGATACTAATTATGCACGATCAATATTAATATTTTATTATATATTTGGTCAAAGTTGATAATGTTTGACTTCTTGAAAAGTGAGGATGACACTTTATGGGGCGGAGGGAGTAGCACAGAGAAAGTAGGGGCATTTTTTAACAATCAAAACAGTTGACACGTAAGTGTTTAATACATCAATTTTGCCAAGGTGCACTAAAAGGGAATGCTTCATAGCAGGTACCTGCAGCATCACCACTTTGACTACATTTCTTTAGCTCTTCCACAGATTCAGCTACTGATTTATCAGGACTGAAAATAGAAATGATATATGGCAAAAGCTTTTCTAGTTGTGATTCAGACTCTGGTTCTTTCTTGTATCCTGTCAGAACTGACTCAACGTCTCTATGAGGATCATTGGTGCTGCAAAATAAGATCCGATACCATCAAAAGCTACAGATGTGCCAGCAAGCGTGATGAGGAACAAGGAAACAGAAAAAAAAATGGAGAAGTTACCGATACCATATATTGATTTTGAAAGTATTTAGTTTTTGTCAGCAAGTACAGATAAGGAGCATACAAGTTAGCACTCAGGAGGGATTCCTTGAGTGAACCCAAATTTGCAGAAGGTACATAATGAGTACCAAGGCCTATAAACATAGCATCAGCAGGTGATGATATCCTTTTTCCAGTAATCCCAAGGTAAGCTCCTGAAAAAAAACAAGAGTGATCATGAAAAGGAAAATATGTGTAAATATATTACACATACAGGCGAGGTGTACCCGATTGGGACCAGCTAGCTTCTTAAATATTTTGGAATAGTAGGGAAGGCCACAACAATGTCATGACTCAAGACTCATTATTGGTAGGACGATCAATCAGAACAAAATAATGATGATGGCTTAATAACATATTAAGATGATTAAGAACAGCTAATTAAGTCTTATAAGCAATAGCAAAGATAGTAGAGAGCAAACAAAGCGAAGCGGTCAAAATATCAAGACATATACATGGAACATGTTGCGTCCAACCTGTTCTCGAACATAATAAACATGGAATGCATGAGGAAGAAAAGGCCAAAGTAGGGACACCAAGAACTAAATAGTATGTGCTTTATGATATTATATATATTGGAAAAGAATATCCTAATGAGGAAATAAATAGCATTAGGCCTTACTTTATGAATTGATACAAGAAGGGGGAAATTACAAGGAGCATACCAACTGCACCCCCTCCTGGGGCTTTTGCACCAATGTAAGCAAAGCCAACATCTGGGAACAGGCCAATAGCATTCTCAGGCATGGCTAGTAGTGTCCTCTGCAATAATGATACACCAAGCAAGATGAGTATTCAGAATTTATATAATGAAATTAAAAAACAAACATAAATTGGAGTTAAAAAATTGCCTCAGTAATAATGTGGTAGCGGCCATGCCCTGATAGCCCAATTCCAAATCCCATTGTCACTCCATCCATCAAGCATATATAAGGTTTTGCATACTCATGTATCTTACAAATCAAGGAGTACTCTGCTGTGAAGACCTGAAAAGCATTAGGGTACTTTTTAGTGATCTATGTGATATAAATATTTAAAACAAAGGAATGCAAACTACTTTCAGCCATCATTGCAAATCATCTACCCAGTAACATAAAATGGTAACATCATGCCAAAGTTTAAGATCCCAGTAGTGGAGGTGGCCTCTGGAGCAGAAATTGTTTCAAACCCTCCTAAATTGTTCCACCTAACTAATTGACCCCAACAGTCAACAGGGGCCTGGATTCATATGTTTGTACATGGTACAACTAATTGCTCAAATTCAATTATAAATTAAAAATCAATTTGATATTCAATTTTAAATTAAAACACAGTATCCATGAATAAAAACATAACATCAAATTACTCAAATGATTGCACACAAACAATAATATTTCATTTCTTGAAAGTTGGTTGTGAAATTCAAATTATATACTTCCTTTGTTCCTAAATATAGTTCACTTTGGTTTTGTCCTAACTCCTAAATCAAACTTCTCTAACTTTGAGTCTTTGACCAAGTTCATAGGAAAATGCAACAACACCTACAACATCAAATCAGTTTCGTTAACTGCTCCATGGAATGTGCTTTGAACTTTTGGTAGTGCATTTGTTTGAACGTCTATAACAGTATAACCTAATATATTTTTCTGAAAACTTCATCGAAGTTGGAAAAGTTGACTTAGGACAAAATCAAAGTGAACTATAATTTGGAATAGAGGGACTTCCAATTTGTCCATTCGAACAGGAGTTACAATTTCAATACCAACATTCTACAGTCAAAATTTTGAGAAGGTAGCAAAAGTGACCATATCACCAATTCATTTTAAATTTCACAAGGGCACGCTATGTCCAGGAATGCATTATCATGCTATAGTTAGACCTCTATTATATCTGGCATGGTGCAATCATTAGCAAGTCTCTTCACATCCCCACCTGCAGTTTACACTAAGCACTAGTCACTGTGTGTATAAGTTTCAGTAAAGCTACAACAAATAACATCATGATATAAACTATTGAACAAAAAGAAGAGATAAAATAGCCATGATAGTAAAATCAGATTAAAATGGAAGCAGTAAAGACCTTTTGCACAAGTGGTGTGTTTTTGTCTTTTTGTATTTCCGCGGCAACCCCCTTAATATCCATCCCTGCATTGGCCATGAATCATATTTGAAAGCATTTCCAATGCTCCGGAAATGAAAAGGCAGATCACCGTGTTTGACATCGATTGCTTAACATACTCGTAAAAAGATAAAAAGAAAATTAAGAATCACCTGCTGAGAAGGCACGAGAAGAGCTGCTTTCCACAAGAATACACTTCACACTTGGATCTGTTTCCCATTCATCAAGAAGTGCCTTGTATCTAACATCCATTTCTGCAATCATGTTATAGCCGAAATATGTTACTGGAGCTCAAAAGGCTATTAAGCAAAAGTTCCAAGGGAAGAAAGATGTAAAAATGACATCTAGAGGAGTAACAGCCTAACAGAGTAGCAGGACATCTTATCAGAATTTGTATTATCAACTAGTAAAATACAGCTGTGCACATGCTTTGAGTGTAAGCCATCCTCAACATGTATCCCAAATCAGAGCAACCCCAAACTTTGTACTGTAGAACATGTCCAGAAAGGGGTTAATCCTCAAGCATTGTTTTTCTGCCAGCATTTTGGCGAGTAGAACAAATGGATAACTAGACACAGGTTCAAACTTCAACAAGAAAATATATAACTTTTTTGTATCTTATACAAATTAATGTTAGTGTACGAAGTTTACACAAATCATCTTGCGTCAGGGTTAGGTTTACACAAAAGGGGTTGAATAAAAAAGTAGTGCTGTTATTGAAACACTCAAAATGATGTCTCTTTTCTTTGTTAGGGTTTTATGCAGTAAACAATATTACAACTATACATAGTTGTATAAAAAGTGCACCTTGAGGCTTGAGCACCCAATTTAAGGATGCATGAAATGCAAGGGTTTTGCAGATCATAACAAAATCCAACAATCATAACAAGGACTTCAGATAATGTCAGCCTCAAATTTCATGTCGAATCAAGTGTCGATTTTCAGATTTTAACATCTATTAGCACACGGTCACAATACAGATTCTCCATAACATGAATTAATTTAGGAACACGATTGGATGATAGATTTGAAATGAGCCACCCCAGCCTAAAACTTTCCTTAGCTCTACGGTATTTTTAGCAGCAAAAAATTCGAACCGCTGCCTGATCCCGAAGCACTAGCACGAGTATATAAACTGAGCTAAACATCCGCGCACTACATCAGTTCGGTACGAGCTTCAAATATTTATTCAACAGCTGCGGAACATCTATTGCTCCGCAGCTTAACAAGCTAGTATAGATCGCAAAAAACAGTACCCGACTAACTCAGTTTATAGAAATCCCTGCCCAACCTATCGCTACTCAAATCACGCCTTGAGGGTTCCCCGAGGTCAAATAAGAGCAGGGAGGGCGATCCTCACCGAGGTTCATGGCGTTGAGGGCCTTGGGGCGGTCGAGCGTGATGACGGCGACGCCGTTGGGGAAGACGCGGCCCTTCACGAACTCGTCCGCTGCGGTGGCGGCCATGGCCGCGAAGCAGCGGACGAGACGGAGCGGGACGAAGGTGGGGCTCGGGGCTAGGGTCTTGGAGGCGGCGGTTGAGGAGGCGTGGAGGAAGGATGCGGTGGAGATGACCGCGGGCGGGTGGATCCGAAGGAGAGCTCGCATAGCGACGTGAGCTGACTGATGGCAACACGAGACTGCAACTTTTGGGAATTCGTGGGCTCGTTATTCTTTTTTTTTATATGGTTAATCGGAGGGGTTGAACTCCCCGTCGGTTCGGCTGCCATTTGTCGTATAGTAAAAATATTTTTCTCTTCTAATAAATTAGTCATATAAATTAGCATAAGTGGCTTATAGATCAGCTGAACAGAGCCTACATTGATTAGGAGCAACAAAAGCTTGTTGCTCAAATACAAAGTTGCAGTAGCAGATTACAAAGGGGATACAAGCAGCTCCTTAGGGCTTCTCCATAGCTCCAAGTTAGTGTGCTACCTCAATCATTATATCAGCACCAGATGTCCAGATCACAACGTTGGGTGGTTTTGCAGGTTGTCAGAGTAGCCTGTAGAAGAACAATAGGCCCCATCTTACAAAAGTTAGAAGCATCAATTAAAGACTTAAAGTTCACGTTGTAGAGAAGAGAAACACCAATACTTAGCTTGAGACCACATCAAGTTGAGAATGAAGAAAGCTATGATGGGAAAAGACTCATTTACATGCATGCCCGTGTTGTGAGATTGGTGTCTCAAATCACCCTCGTCTACGTGTCTCATGGTTTTTGACTGATTGTTGTTAGATTGATCTCTAATCCTAAACTGTGTCCAACGGCTCAGTTGGGCCTTTGATCTGCGCCCTGATCGGGAGCGCCCAACCCACTATGGCTGGAGGGCCCTTGTCACACTACACAATAAATAGAGGTGGAGGCCGACGGCTCAAGTCACGAGGTTCGCCTGAGCCGAGCTCCCCATCGACAAACCCTAATCCGATCTAGAGGGCGCACAGCCAGTGACGGGAAGCCACTAGCCGCGCCGCCACCGGACTACGTCACCGCCACCACTGCACTGTGCCGCCACCTGTCTTCCCCGACCGTCACTGTCCTAGTGCAGACATCGACTCCACGGCGGACGCGAGCGGGTCCTCCTCCACTGCGGTGTCAGGTTTGACACGTCCATCTTCTACCCTTCCCTTTCTCTCGTTCTACCTACTGTTACTGCACTGGTAGATGTTCTAGGATTCATAATTCTATTCAACAGTAAGTACCCGGCTAGATCTATGCTCCTAGTGATCCTATATGTTTTAACAATGGTATCGGAGCCTCGTTTAGGTATAGATCTAGCTTATCAGTTTAGATCCGTTCGGATCTGAGAAAAGAACAGAGGGTTCGATCCGTTTTCGGGTTGAAACCCTAACCCTAATCAGGAAACGAACCCTAACCTCACGGGAAAGAAGAACAATGAAACACTAACCCTAACCAAACCCTAATCTCGATCCTAACCCCATCCCCAACCCTAAATCGGATAGATCCAAGAAAAGAAGAAAGGAAAATCAAAGAAAAGAAAAGGGAAAGGGGAAGAGGCCTACCTCGCCGCCGCACCGTGCTGCCGCCTCGTCGGCGCGTGGGCGGGTGCTCGGGACAAGGGCGCTGCGGCCAGGTGAAAGGTCCTAATATGGCTAGAGGGGGGGGTTGAATAGCCTATTTAGACTTCTACAAGTCAACTAGAGCAATTTGATTAGTATGACAAATAGCGTAATGCAAACTTGCTCTAGCTCTACAAAGGTTGTAAGCCACCTATCCAACAATTCTAGTTGCAATGATTACTTAGGCACCCAAACTTGCTATGTAACTACTCACTAAGAGCTCTCAATCTTGCTACTCTAAAGAGCTCAACTTGATGAATATAAATAATAAAGCAAGCTCTCAATTCTAATTACACTAAAGAGCTTGTATCAAATAGTTTTCAAAGAATGTAAATAAGTGAGTAGGGTGATTATACCGCCGTGTAGGGAATGAACCAATCACAAGATGAAGATTAAGCCAATCATCGGGAGAATGGAAATGACAAGAGACAACCGATTTTTCTCCCGAGGTTCACGTGCTTGCCAGCACGCTAGTCCCTGTTGTGTCGACCAACACTTGGTGGTTCGGCGGCTAAGAGGTGTTTCACAAACCTCGTCCACACGATAGGACACCGCAAGAACCGACCCACAAGTGAGGTAACTCAATGACACGAGCAATTTACTAGAGTTACCTTTCGGCACTCTACCGGGGAAGGTACAACTCCCCTCACAATCACCGAAGGCGGCCACGAACAATCACCAACTCGTGCCGATCCTTCACCGCTGCTCCAACCGTCTAGGTGGTGGCAACCACCAAGAGAAACAAGTGAAATCCGCAGCGCAACACGAATACCAAGTGCCTCTAGATGCAATCACTCAAGCAATGCATTTGGATTCTCTCCCAATCTCACAATGATGATGGATCAATGATGGAGATAGTGGGAGGGCTTTGGCTAAGCTCATAAGGTTGCCATGTCAATGAAAATGTACAGGAGTTGGCCCTTGAGCCGGCCATGGGGCTATAAATAGAGCCCCAATCAAATAGAGCTGTTATACCCCTTCACTGGGCAAAACGCGCTCTGACCGGACGCTCCGGTCATACTGACCGGACGCTAGCCCTCAGCGTCCGGTCGCCCGATGGACGCCACGCGTCACCAGCTTCAAACGCTGTTCGTCAGATTTCAACGGCTACGAAGCTGACCGGATGCTCTGGCAAAACTGACCGGACGCTGAAGCCCCAGCGTCCGGTCGTTTCCAGTAAGCTCCCCGAGGCGTATTTCTTCGACCGGACATGTCCGGTCCACCTTGACCGGACACAGACCAGCGTCCGGTGCTCAACCCTAGCCACTGTGTCGTTTGACAGCACGACCAGACGCAGCCTTTCAGCGTCCGGTCACTGAGTGACCCAGCGTCCGGTCAGTAGACCGACGCCAGCATCATTTCGACCAACTCTATTTCAACTCTAACTTCTTTACCCTTGCTCAAATATGCCAACCACCAAGAATTTGCATCCGGCGCAATAGAAAATAGGCATTCCATTTTCCCGAAAGCACCGAAGACCCAAACCCATCTCAACACTGTAAACACCACCTCCTTTGTAAATGTGCCAACACCACCAAGTGTATCACCTTGTGCACAAGTGTTAGCATATTTTCACAAACATTTTTAAAGGTGTTAGCACTCCACTAGATCCTAAACGCATATGCAATGAGTTAGAGCATCTAGTGGCACTTTGATAACCGCACTCCGATACGAGTTTCACCCCTCTTAATAGTATGGCTATCAATCCTAAATGTGATCACACTCTCTAAGTGTCTTGATCACCAAAACAAAATAGCTCCTATGGTTTATACCTTTGCCTTGAGCTTTTTGTTTTTCTCTTTCTTCTTTCCAAGTCCAAGCACTTGATCATCATCATGGTATCATCATCATCATGCTATGATCTTCATTTGCTTCATCACTTGGAGTGTGCTACCTATCTCATGATCACTTGATAAACTAGGTTAGCACTTAGGGTTTTATCAATTCACCAAAACCAAACTAGAGCTTTCACCAGGCCGCTCGACGGCGGCGCGCTCACCCGCTGGGGAGCGCGCGCGCCGGCGAGAGGACCGGCGATGACGCCGTCATCGTCGGGACCGAGACAGAGGAGGAGGAGAACAAACCGGGTAGGATCTAGGGTTTCGAGGGGATCAGGGCACCGCCGCTAGTCCGCTCGACGGCGGCGCGCTCACCCGCGTGGGGAGAGCGCGTGTCAGTGAGGGGGCCGGCAACGGCGCCAAAGTCGCTTGCGCTCTCGCTCTCGGTTGCTGCCACTGGTTGCTGTGCTGAGGGCGGAAGACAGGAGCGCGGCGAAGAGAGAGAGGAAAGAATAGAATGGTGCTAGGGTTTCAAGGGAGCCGCTGCGGTCGCCGTTTTGATCATGCGACGCGCGCGGACGGCCGTCGAATCGGCGTGGACGGCTTAGATTGAGCGGGCCATTTCATAGCCCTGGTGGGCGCGTGCGGCCGTGGCACTTTGCTGGCCCAGGCCCACGTTGCGGCCTGGGTGCGGTCGGGCGCCGCGCAGAGGTGGTGGGCCGAGCCGAATTGCTGACTTCGGGCCCAGTAGCAGTAAAGAGGGAGCCCAATTTTCCTTTTTTCTTTTTTAGTAAAATTGAAAAATGGAAAATGGCTCAAAAGAAATCAGAAAAATGAATTTTTCCTGTGGGTGAAATTTAAGAAAATGAGTTCATTTTTTTCCGCTGCATATTTTAAAGATGTTATTTTCATTATTAAATTCGAACCAACGGGAGAATTTAATTTTGAAAAATGGATATGTTTTGATCTTATTATAATATTGTTATTATTCTGACCAACGTTGATTAATGGCAATATTATGATGAGTTTTGTCATGCATTAATTCTATTTCTGCCCAACGGTGATGTAGAATTAGTGTAGAGGACAATTGTATGTTTTAATTTTGACCAACGTTGGAACTAAGGCATGCAATTGTTATTATTATGTTTATGTTCTCACTCTATATAAATTGTGTTTTCAGGCGGATACAACTTAATGGGTTGTATCAAAGAGATCCCCACTCTCAAAGGTGATAACTACACGGAGTGTAAGAAAAAGATTGACATGGCCCTCATATTGGCTGAGGTGGACTAGGTAGTCACCTCACCGTGTCCCACTGAACCTGTGGCACCGGTGAGGGAGACAAACGAGACTGATGCTGCTTAGGCAACAAGAGAGAGGGATTTTGCATCCCAAAAGATGTCCTATGACCTTGAGCATAGGAAGTGGGTCACTGCCAACAAGAAATGTTTGGCTGTGATAAAAAAACACGATTGAGCCTGCAATTGTGGGCTCAATCCCAGAGTGTGACACCGTCACCGAGTACCTCGATAGAATGGCTCTTCAAAGACATATGCTACCCAGCTGATAAAGCAGCTGGTGACAGAGAGGTATCTCTGGAAATGGTGG